TGCAGAAATTGCAAAAATTCCTGAAAATTGCAAAAATTGCAGAAATTGCAAAAATCGCAAACATTCCTGAAAATTGCAAAATTTGCAAAAATGCCTGAAAATTGCAAAAATTGCAAAAATTCCTGAAAATTGCAAAAATTGTAAAAATTCCTGAGAATTGCGAAAATTGTAAAAATTCCTGAAAATTGCAAAAATTGCAGAAATTGCAAAAATCGCAAAAATTCCTGAAAATTGCAAAATTTGCAAAAATGCCTGAAAATTGCAAAAATTGCAAAAATTCCTGAAAATTGCAAAAATTGTAAAAATTTCTGAAAATTGCAAAAATTGCAAAAATTCCTGAAAATTGCAAAATTTGCAGAAATGCCTGAAAATTGCAAAAATTGCAAAAATTCCTGAAAATTGCAAAAATCGCAAAAATGCCTGAAAATTGCAAAAATTGCAAAAATTCCTGAAAATTGCAAAAATCGCAAAAATTCCTGAAACTTGCAAAAATTGCAAAAATTCCTGAAAATTGCAGAAATTGCAAAAATTCCTGAAAATTGCAAAAATTGCAAAAATTCCTAAAAATTGCAAAAATTCCTGAAAATTGCAAAAATTGCAAAAATTCCTGAAAATTGCAAAAATTGTAAAAATTCCTGAAAATTGCAAAAATTGCAAAAATTCCTGAAAATTGCAAAAATTCCTGAAAATTGCAGAAATTGCAAAAATTCCTGAAAATCGCAAAAATTGTAAAAATTCCTGAAAATTGCAAAATTTGCATAACAGGGTGATTTCAAAAACCACGATTTTTTTTTTCATTTTCATCATCGAAAATCTTCATGATCACCCTATATATCTCAACGAAATCATGTTCATACGGTATCAGCTATCTTGGGAGGTTAACAATTCACTCGACTATACAGGATGTGTATAAATAAATAAATCGGTCTTAGGTGTCACCAATTTTTCAAATCACCCTGTATGAAATGTATGAATTGTGATTCATGATGGAATGAGAATAGTATATTGCATGCCTAAATTATTTTTTCGATATTTCATTATTACATCGAATTTTCAGACATCACTGAAATGTTTATATGTTTCACTCTGTAAACAATTACATCATCTGAACCATCTGAATTATGTTGAGTAATATGGAGGTTCGTTAATGATATGAGCGAAGAAAATTGTACTTGGCATCTTTAAATTTCGAGAAAATAATTAAATGAAAAATACCGATTTGTAACTTCAACGCCCTGTATCTCAGAATCTGTTCATCAAAGAACTTTACGATTCTGCAGGTTCAATCAGTTCATCGAATTCTACAACATACTGAAAATTCAGAAAATTTCACCGAGAACCATTTTACGTACTAAAAGTGCGGGGTCCTTTCAAGTGAAAACTGTGTTCAAAACTTAAAATACAATGAGATCAATTTTAACTCAAACAAAGCCGAAATATGAAGAACAATCGTCAAAAACTTGTATTTACAGTATACCTTGTGTTTGTGGAAAGTATTATACAGGTGAAACGAAAAGACCTCTCTCAGTGAGGACTAAAGAACACAAGCACAATATCAAGAAAAGACATATCGATAAATCGAAACTAGCTGAACATATCCTTACTGAAGACGGACAACATATATCAAAGTAAAATAATATTAAAATCATTGGAAAAGAAGATAACAACCACAAGAGAAAAATCAAGGAATCTGCTTGCATTCTTCTGAACGGAGACAACATCATTGCCTCCTGTTCAGTTGAAATAGATAGAACATGGTATTCACTATTGCAATCTGAAAATGAAAATGGTAAATTCAAAATTAATCAATGAAAACAACCTGTAACTCATTTGATTGCCAATGTCACCAATTGTCACTGAGAACTGAAAAGTGAAAGGACAAATACGAATTTTTCGATACAAGAAAATCCATTTTCTATGTCGAAAACGGGAGCAGATTCGTTCCCGAAACGTCCATAGATAAGTAAAAAGTCGATATCTTTTCTAAATACCTTTATTTCTCTTCTTCAAACTTATTTCAATACAAATTGTCACTGACAAGCTAGTGAATTTTTCTTTCAGGCTCTCTGATAGGAAAATTCTTTAAACGCAGTGACATTTTGGGGCAAATCATCTGATTTGTCCTTACTACACATACAGGCTGATTTTAAAATGAGTGCATATATTCAAGACATATATATGAGAGAGTCTAACAAAAATTACTAAAATATTTGATTTTTCCTAAGTCTTCACATTAATGAGAAATTTGATTTTGAAAATTGAACATAAAATGCTTCGAAATTCGAGTACGCCACTGGGAAGCAAGTGAAATCTGCGGAATCTCAGGGAATCCCCAATTCGTCATTCACTAACGTCAAAACAAGACAGTGATGCCAGATTGTTTCAGAGACGAATATCCTGATAAAAATTTGTCACAGAATGAATATGAATTGGAATAGGTTATGGAAACTAATAGAGCCTTATTTTTTAAAGTTTACTGAGAGAACTGTGGGGTGATTATCTCCATGGATCACGAGAGACGGAGAGAAACATGAGGGGAATGATAGAACGCCCCCCTTCCTTCAATTCGAAAATAAGGCCCCAGCGGGTAGATACAAAATTAGCAGACAATAAATAGGTACACAACATGCACAAAGTTGAAAATCGACTCACCTAGTAGATTTTCTCATACCTGCTCGAACAGCAAAACTCCCGAGAGCAAACAAATACTAATATCGAGTCCATTCCAGACTAATATCGTCCTGTGTTCTTGTTGGTTCATATTCGCACTTAAACCATCGAAAACGACCCGACGACGACATATCCTTCCTGGCAATCTCACATTGAAAATCACGATCACGACCTCATCACGATTATCACGACACAAGACACAACATCCAATTATTTTATTTTTTATTTTACGTTTACAATTATTTTACAAACCAGCAACCACACAAACAAAACTATTATCATATGATCTGTCAACATCATTTCTCAGAACAGTAGTATCTGTGACCATAGATTTCCTCTTTGCTGTGACCTTAACTAGGATTGTTCGCGTTCAGAAAATAAACAATCCGAAACCGTCAGAAGCATGCACAAGTCCACAGAACCCAAAAAAAATCATACAGTTCTGTGAAACTGCGCATGCTTCTGACCGTTTCGGACGCAAGAATTCAGATGACCATGAATTACTAATAGGTGATTTCTAAGGATCAATCAGAAACAGCAAAGTAGCGCCTGCGTGGTTGTGATTCATCCTGATTGGACACAGCTGATTGGATTGGTGAGATTAGTGTATAGTGAGGAAGTATCATTTCATTGAATTAAACTAATAGATGTTTTTTCCAAATTAGTTTTTTATGAAAATGGTAGTTTCATTTAAAGATATGATCCTTCCTCACTAATACATTAATCTCAATCACCTGTGCCCAATCAGGATGAATCGCAACCACGCAGGCACTACTTTGCTGTTTCTGATTGGTCCGTAAAAGTCGCCTATTAGTAATTCATGGTCATCTGAATTCTTGCTGGTAGCACACCATAAGAACAATCAAAACAAAGATCCTTTCTTGACAGTTTGTTGTTCTGAGAATGTATGTTATTTTGAAAAACGTCAAAACGTGATACTAGTAAATGTAAAGTTTTGTTTCTGACAATTTGCTTGGAATGTGACGATGCATTTCTCAAACATTGAGCTGAATGATATGGTTCTTATGTCGGGTCGTTATTGTGCGGGGCCCATGAGACTCCTCGAAGGACACGAAATTGTAGCGATGCAAGGAGTCCAGGAAGGGTCTAAAGGATTTTTCAGTAAAAGAACTTCCAACCGTGAGGTGTTAAGTTATACGCTATTCGAGCTTATGTGTAGAAATCTTGGGTGAGTCCATTTTAAAGTTTTTGTATTATCTTTCTGAAATTCAAGACCAGGGTTAACTTCTTCCCCATGTACATTTTCTCGATGATACATTTTATTTAATATCTCCTAATTTTCATGTAGAGTGGCAACGTCGCTTCGTTCATCACGGTCGACTGCGCGGATCGCAAACGATAGTTGTGACAGAAGTAGAAATCTGGGCGGAAAAAGGGTATTTTGCCCCTAATCTATTTTGATCCTAATAATATTTTTAATAGTGCTATTCGGTAGTATACCTCAAGCTTTCTTAGTGTTTAAAATATATGCACTTATTTTAAAATCAGCCTGTATATCGAAATAATATTCATTTTTTTTATAGAAACAAGGAGAGACAATCCCAAAAAATCTGGAATAATGAATGTACCACCTCCTCGATTAACCTACAGACAGTATGTATTTTCTCTAATTGATTCAACAGTAGAAATAAAGTGATTTAAAAATATCGAAACTCACGTCTTGTATTCTCTTAGCCTTCAGCGCCCGATAATCCTCCTCCAGCCCGACCACTTGCCTCCTCAACGTATCCCTCTCGCTTTTCAACCTCTGCAAAGTCTCCTCCTCCCTACGCAACTCCTTCTCGTTTCGCAACTCCTTTTCCGTTCGTAACTCCTTTTCCGTTCGCAACTCCTTTTCCGAGCTGGCGCTGTTCGATCTCGCCTGCGACGACAACTTCTCCGGGCAACTCCTGAAGGAGTTCTTGTCCAGCAGGTTCTTCAAGCTGCCTTCGCGCTCCTTTTGCAGTCTGCGGTTGGTTTTCCGGGAGTCCTCCACGTCTTTTTGAAGGCTGATTTGAGTGTTTTTTGGGGTTAGGTGAATGGGATTCTTTTTTATTTACACTGACAAGATGATTCAACTTCATGTGCAATGCATGGTGGAAAAAATTCACCGTTTTCAAATTGAAGTCGTCACTATTGCTAACTTGAATTGTTGCTACAAAGAAGGTTGAATGGACAAACTAGTAGTATTTTTTCTGCTGATTACGATGACGAAAACTAAACAAAAATCTAAAATCGCGTTCACAAGTTAATTGGCGGATAAAATATCAGCAACAATGGAAATATAATAGTTATATTCATGATATAAGTGCTAAAAGTGACATTTTATTTTGTGAGAAGGGAAGTTTGGGACACGACGCCGAAAGCAGAGTGTTCCATCCCTCCGAACAAAAGAAACACACCTTTTAGCACATATATCATACACTATTTTTTTTACAAACACCATTGAAAGTCCAAATTAACGCATAACTAATTTACATTACTTATTAATTGATTAAATAACAGCCTCGAGATTATCAGTTTTGAATCCAATTCAATCTAATCTATTCATGAAACAATAGTTACCAAGGTAAACAAAAATTGAATTTGTTGGATTTATCTTTCTTGACAACTAACGTCAATAAATCATGAATTATTCTTTCTCGTTTCTTCGTTCCTCGATGGAAAGTGCCCAAGAAAATGAATTTCTTCCGCCGCAAATTGAAGAAGCTGCCAATAAAGCTGTGTTTGAATTATTGCCTAGTAAGTCAAAGCGACAGTACGAGTTTTCATACGAACGTTTCTTGAAATGGTGTGATCAGAAAAATGTCAGTGGAGAGGAGGCCAGTGAAAAAGTGCTTCTTGCATACTTTGAAGAAAAGTCCAAAATATGGAAATCGTCAACGCTTTGGTCGAATTACTCTATGTTAAAGTCGATGATGAACATAAATGATCATGACATAAGCAGATATCACAAGCTTGTGGCTTTTTTGAAGCGAAAGGGTGAAGGATATCGACCGAAAAAGTCAAAAAGTATTGACAAGAGAACAAATCGACAAATTTCTCGCAGAAGCCCCAGATGAAATATATCTAATGCAGAAAGTTGCTGCGATTTTTGGTGTTTTTGGAGCCTGTCGTCGAGAAGAACTGTGCGATCTGACATTAAATAATATCGAGGATTCCGGAACTTCACTAGTTGTGCATATACCAGACACAAAAACTAATGTGCAACGCACCTTTGTTGTAAGTGGTACATTGTATATGAACTACTACAAAAAGTACATAGCCCTTCGTCCAGTGGATATTAATCATTCTAGAGTTTTTATAAAATGCATTAAAAATAAATGTGCCAGGACTCCAGTTGGAATCAACACATTTGGTAAGATGCCTAGAATATAGCAATCTCGTATTGGTTTCGCTACAGCCTGATAATGACTCCTAGAAGTCGAAACATGTATCACAAAAAAGATCTGCATTCAATTTCGATTTTGTCTCTGCCGTATACGGGATGGAAATGTAATGATCGGGTGATTGACTGTGGAATATGCTTCAAACATTCGATATCTCGAAAACTGATTGAGATGATGAAATCTTTGAAGCAGAATTTTCAATCAGATTTTGTTCGCTTTCGAATAGTAAACTTTAATGATAATAACATTAGGTATACGGAGGAGGGTGTGCGAGTATATTCTTTTTTCAAATGGAACGAACACCCTTTATTTTATCTTGTATCATGAAAGAATGATTATTTCGGATTTCAATGATATACTGGGTGATTCACGTAGACTACACATCAGGAGTTTCCCAAGTTGCAGTTGAATCGAAAACTTGAAAGTTGGAACGCTGTCATTATCAATCATTTCCAATCTACCTGAAATATTATCAGCCCTCAAGCTATAGTCAGCATCGACTTCCTTATTTCAAATAAAAAACCTACATTTTCTCAAACGGTTTGATTGGCATTCTCATTTCGAGTTTGGACAACATAATTTATGTATTTTTATTATAGTTTTCGAAATATGTCGATTTTTCTGAAAATAATTAACACCGTAGTAGTTCACGAAAACATTTAAATCTCGCAGAGTTAAAGTACCAAATTTGTGAAACAGTTAGCTAGAAGTCCAGGTTAACTCCTGCTGTCCCAACGATGGTCGAATTTTGTACCATATGGGCGAGTTTCAAATGTCACATAAGATTTCCAAAAAACAAAATTGTATCAACACCATGTGGAATGAAATTAAATTTGAGGATAAGTTACTTAAGCATTACCTATTCCTAACTCAAACTTCAGTAGATATTCACCACAATCAATGTTATAATTTCCATCAACATAGACAAAGTTGAGTAATCAGGAACATACGAAATAAGCTGTAAGAGCCATAACAGAACATACATAGGTCAAACTAGAAAGTCCATTCAAACTGGGCGCAAAGAACATCTTACACACTTCAAGTATGGTAGATTTTGAAATGCAAGTCTCTATTTGAATAGGTCTAGATGCAATGTAGGAAAATAGTCATTATTATACAGGGTGACAACCAAATTAAGAAAACTAAGGCAAATAATTTGGCATTTACTCACCGAACGATGACTTTCTCTTTATTGGCTAAATCCGTCTGAAGACCTCTGATCGTCGCCAACAAATGGGCGTCTTCCTTCGTATTTTCGAAATGTTTTTTGGCCGGTAACGGTTTCGGCGGTTTGCTGGGAAGCGGATCCGTTTGCGTGGACACGGAGAAATGTTCTTTGTGGGGGATTTTCTCCTCCAGGCCTGTTTGCGTGTACACGTCATAAGTGTCGATCTGGTGAAAATCAGATCGAATCAGGTTGCTTGTCGCGATGGAACTTTCGGAAATTATTTTTTCTACAAGCGTGCGCGATTCACCCTATACCCGCACGCAATTTAGTTTGGGAAGTGTCATTTTCCCGAAATAATGCGGGAAGAACAAGGATATGATAATATCGCGAAATATAAGTGGTTGGTGATGGAATATCAAAGTTTAAGTTTGTTTGTTGCAGCATTAAGTATGTATGTTCAGAATGAAATTTCTTTATTTATTGTGAAATTTGAGAAATATCGAAAACTAAGAATTGATTATCATAAAAATCCCTCTACTTATACCGGGTGGCTACGGAAGTATTGCCTACGGAATATCTCAGTTATTGTATGAAGTAGGTTTGTGAAATTTGGAGCGTCGATATAATGACATAAGAGCTAGAATTAGAGCATATTGGCATGTCGAAGTTGACTTCTGGAAGTAACATCAACTTTCTTATTTAGAATGGAAACCCTATTTTTTTTTCTTTTCGCTTTATTCAGCATTCAATTCCCTTTCTAATGACATATCACAAGTTGGTATCTAACCAGAAACTAGATCAGAAAAAAATTATTATTGAAATTCACCGAGAAGGCCGTGGAAGCAAAATGAAAGCCAAAAAATGACTTTCTATTATATCATAAGAAAGGAATGGTTATGCTGAATAGTACATGCAAGAAAAAGTTGTATGTTCCTATTTAACTTGTGGACCTACAGAGTATTGTTTTTTTTCCAATTTTTCCAATATTTTTTTTGGCGGCTTCTTATAACGTCGACGAATGAAAATAAAATATCACAGTAGTAGCAACTGTTATCAAGTGACGTATGGTTTCCATAGCCAACTTTTCAATTTTTGGCTTTTATTTTGCTTCCACGGCCTACTCGGTGAATTTCAATAATAATTCTTTTCTGATCTAGTTTCTGGTTAGATACCAACTTGTGATATGTCATTAGACAGGGAATTGAATGCTGAATAAATCGAAAAAAAAAAAATAGGGTTTCCGTTTAAAATAAGAAAGTTGATGTTACTTCCGGTCAGACCGGAAGTTAACTTCGACATGTCAATATGCTCAAATTTTAGCTCTTATGTCATTATATCGACGCTCCAAATTTCACAACCCTACTTCATACAATAACTGAGATATTCCGTAGGCAATACTTCTGTAGCCACCCGGTATATTTGGGTTGATCTGATGGGAAATCATTATTGTTGTCATGCTAATCAAACCTCAAATAAGTTTGTAATTGTCGAAGTGACAGACACAGCGTTACTGTCATTTTCGATTCAGTGGAATTGCCACAATATGATCAAAAACTTCCAGCTAGAGGAATGCGATTCAGATACGTTATTGCCAACGAAGTCTTAAGAAAGGTATGAGAAGCTATACACGCGTTATATTGAATTGTGCAACAATAAAGAAATGAAAATAACGAATAAAAAAGAAGTATTTTTGGCCCATGTCCTAGAAGTGTCTGAAACCTAGAGACCAAACACCTTATGGGCCTGCTGGCTTCCTTAATGAACCTACATAATGCGTCAAACTCTAAAATATATTTCTCTTGTTAGTTGTTTCTATATGAATGAGTAATCAATTCAACAATTTAATCAATTTCCTACGCTTGTAGAAAAAATATTGTTCCTAACTCATGCGGAGAGTGTCTTTTCTGTACTCGAATGCTTGCCCGAACTTGCACGGAAAAGTGCATTTAGTGTTGAATTGGTAACTTTTTAGCATTGCTGGCCGAACTCCGCTAGGCGTCGTTCGGTCATCTGCAATCGAGTGCGGAGAAGCAGCACTTTCCGCACTTGTTAGGTGAAACAATATTTCCTAAAAGTATCTTCTCTGCACGATTATTTGTTGTGAAAGTTGTGCTTTTCGGTGAATCGATTAGATCTGGCGGAAAAGTAACTTTTCGACTTAATGTGAAACAATGACAAGTCATAGGAAGGTGAAAATGAGATATTTCACTCTGAATGTTGAAAATAATATATAAAATCCAGTAACTTTAATGGTTTTAGTCTTACGTGAGGTCGATGCGTCATGGCATATAAAACTATAGATAACAAGTATGATAATAAAATCACTTCAAACTTGAGAAAAAGCTTTATTTGAAAATAATATGGCTTGTTACATTATTCCATTTACATATATCCACAAAACCTCACATACTGTTGCCCTAAATTTCGTCAAATATTTCCTTTTGTTCTCGAATCTATCAGTTCATTTGTCTATATCGACTTTTTTCAGATGTGTTTGTTCTTTCCTTTTTTTTATTAATTCATCTACAACAAAATGCAATATTCTTACAAGTCACGTGACATGCAACTACAATAATACTTTCTTATGTAAGAAGAAATATTTTTTTTAAAGTTCAACTGGAAATAATTCCTAAATGACTCAGCTGTTAGGTACCCAATGGTTATAACGTGACAAGCCACATTTTTGGGAAAAAATACATACCTTCTACTGTATTTTCATCACTTGAGTCACTTCTAGATAGTACATAGTTGAAGTCACAGTCACTGTCACAGTCACTTCAGGATCAGAGTCACTGGATGGTATTAGTTTGATAAGAGTTTGGACACAGAAATGACAACTGTAAGGGTTTTTGAATGTTTAGATTTATTAAGTCACACACCTTGCATTGTAACAAGAGCACCATAGTCGTCCCTCGGTTTTATTCAAAATTGTTCGAATTAGACAATAAATCTTATAAACGTCAGCATTGAAATAAAATTTGAAATTATACTTTCGAGAAAAAAGCAGCTATGGAAATCACTTGCTGTGTAATGAATTGTGCCAAATCTGATAAAAATGGATATCATTTATTCAATTTTCCAAAACAAATATCAACCATTCGCTTATGGAAGGAAGATATGAAACGCCCTGGGTGGAAAATCAATTTCAAGACGAGCGAAATTTGTGAGGTACTCATTAAAATTCACTTCATATAACAGCATCTGATCAGAATGAAAGAATGAAAGAAATATTTTAGGCCCAGTTTCGAACAGAAGATTTCAAAATCTGTTTGAGAGAATCTGCTGTTCCATCAATTTACACAATAAAGCAGACGATTTCAAGAACAAAATTCCATTATTATCATCACACAAAATACAGAACAAAATAATCATGGAAAGAGGAAATGACCGTAAAATTACATAATGAAATTGGAGATTTGAAAACAAAACTAAGAAAAGCAAGGAAACTACAACGGGATATATTATTGAATGGCGCTTTTGGTGCCAATCAAATTCAAAATTCAACAGTGAAAAGTGAATAGTTATTTATGTATCAAGGGAATAATTATAAGGGCCTTAATTACGATGGAGGTAATCGTTTTGGAGATATTTTCTCGTCTCGTCAACATAAACTACTTTTTTCCTATGAAATATCGAAAAATGATTTGTTTGTGTTTCAACACCCTGTATCTCCGGAATAAAGCATTTCCGGACACAAGCTTATATAGACTTCATTTCTTATAATTGTCTCAGGAATACTTCACTTGAAAGTACTTATGTTACTTCCTGTATATTGAGAATACCTACCTTTGATTTGATATAAATAACTTCAATTAAACGAGACGAGAGGAGAGAAAGTCACAAAAATCCAGAGATATTTATAAAAGGGATTCCGTTTCGTGCGTTCCAAACTAAGAAAGAAAACTGCATCTTACCTTCCTTTTCAGCTGGTCCTTCAGATCATTGACATGCGTCTCCAAATCCTCGATATGACTCTCATATTTGTCTTTCATCTGATTGAACTTCTCCTGGATCTCCACGAACACCTTCGAAGACTGCGATTCTCTGCTTAGCTGTTCCCTTTCCAGGCACTTTATCCTGTTGTTAAATACTTTGATATTCAGATCATATTGTTCAAGTGAAATGTAACTATGTCCAAGATTGGTCGTAACCAGTGGTTAGGTTAGGTTATGTTAGGATAAACGTGAGTGCTGCCTATGGCCTATTGTGGCTCACCCTATAGTTATATTTTCCCCAGTATATATTCTAATCTCTTGGCGAAATTAAGGAGTACGTTGGGAGAACAATTTATCAAGCTTTCTGGCCCTACTGTTGTATTGTATCCAGTGGACACCAACCTTTAATTAGTTATCTTGTTCAGTGGAGACAACCCTTGATTAATAAATACATCGTCAGTTGTCACTTGTCAACTGAAGACATGACATGATTGACGCAAGGTTTGGTTGGTTGACAACTCTGGAAAAAATGTCGTGCTCTGGATAAAGAGAACTAACGTATTAATCCAGTGTAATCGGCTGTATTTTATTTTAAACAACATTAAAACACATATTGTATGTTATGAGGTTCAATGTCTATTTGAATAGGCAAGTGGGCCATTTTTTTCTCATTTTTTATATAGTATCATCCCTCAACTACCCCTCAATTCCAAATTTTTTTAGATTTTCCGGTCGATCTTAAATTTCAAACGACTAGAAATTTACCGCAACTACCAACCTGACGTCACGATTTCGTAAGACAATAGCACAGTTGCCATTATGTTAAAATACGAGTGAGAACTTGGGAAATATCCTATATACAGGGTGAGTGGGGAGGAACGCATCAAAATCCAGGTGTGTATTGTACACGTAAAAATAATTTGAAAAAACCCATATGTTCCGATACGATTCTCATTTGTTTTCATTTCGAATTTGAATAGATTTGTGTCATTTTATGAGATTTCAATTGTACATACTCGATTTTTTCATCTGTTTTGTTGTTCTGACATGTGTTCGTGTCAGTGTCACTGTATTTGACGCGTTTATTTTCGAGTTTGTATGATTAAAGTCCTATAAAATGTCACACATCTAATCACATTTTTTTCTGTAACGGGAAAAAATTTTGGTATTTCATCTCTGTTGGCAGGTTATAAAATGTCACTTTTCATAAATTACTTTTTTCCCGTGGGAAAAGAGTGAGTACTTTTTTTCCGGATATATATCACATATATATATATATACACACTGTTGATGGATTTTGTTGTGCTATAGTTCCGAATAATAATAAGTCAATAATACCGTCTCCGAGAAAGAACTGCAAGTCCGCCTTTTTTCTTCCATTCGACTTCACGGTTACGTATATTACTAAACAACCACTAAATTCGCAATTTTTTGAAATCATATCACAGAATTAGACTGACAGAAGTGACATCAGATATTTTATTACTTCAAAAGAATGATATAGATGCCTACAACGCAGGTGTCCCTACTGTTAAAAACTTAAAATTTCATGGCGATAATTTTCAGATTTCAAAATAATATGTAATATCTTCTCAATATTGATTCGTCCTTTCTTCTGTTACGGTTTTTTGTCTCCCTTCGCTACGCGTCGGGAGACAACACAACCTGGAGTTAAAATCTACTACTTTTTTCCCTTGTATAATAAATAACTATAGAATGAAAACAAATGAGAATCGTATAAGAACATATAGTGTTTTTTTTTTAATTATTTATATCTGTACAATATACACCTGAAGTTTGGTGCGTTCCTCCCGACTCACCCAGTATAATAATTCATAATAATACTTAAAATTTTCCCTCTTATGTATTGTCACTTATGACTTATAATAAATTTGTATGAATACTTATTATATTGATTCACACATTTGGTCACGTGACACGACAAAGATCGTGGGCGTTGTCTTGTCAGTTCTCAGAATTAAGCACAGGTTGCCAAGTATCCAGCCAACATTTATACATTTTGTTAAGGAGTAAAATACATATTTTGATAAGTTGTTTGCTCGAAGACGTCACAAATGAATAACTATAATATCATGGCTTCCTCCTATTAGGTCGAAGAATTTCTCAAATATCTTCTCGAAGGCCTCCATGAAGATGTGAAAAGGATAACAGAAAGGTCTGAGCTAATCTTCACAGAAATAGATGAGAAACTTAGTGATCATGAGAAAGCCCAAGAGTCATGGTCCAGATATTTGAGAATAGAAAACTCGATTATTGTAGACAACTTTGGTGGTCAATTGAAATCAACTTTGAGTTGTTCTTATTGTGGACATTGCTCTGTAAGTTTTGAACCTTTCTGGGATCTATCATTACCGATTCCAAACACAACGGGCCAACTAAGACTTTCACAATGCTTAGACCTTTTCACCAGAGAGGAAATCTTGAACGGTGACGAGTCACCAACATGTTCAAAATGTAAGGAAAGAAGGAATTTCACGAAGTCTTTGTTGATACATAAATTCCCTAATATTCTAGTGATTCATTTAAAATGTTTCTCGCCATCGGAGAATTTTCATGGGAAAATAAACACCACCATTGATTTTCCTCTAGAAGATTTGGATATCGGGAATTATACAACAAATAATGAAATCCCTTGTAGATATAATCTTTATGCTGTATCTAATCACAGTGGAACAACTTTGTCTGGACACTACACAGCATATTGTAAACACCCAATCACAAACTTATGGCACGAGTACAATGACTCGATTGTTTCACAGAAATCATCTAAATCTTTTGTGAATGGAGAAGCATACATCCTCTTCTACGAGCAGAAGGTTGCAAGGACGCGGAACGAAGATCAGAGAAGCAACAGTGCGATCGATAGCAACGATTCTGAAACAAGATGGAGCACTTCCAAGGAAAGTTCGAACGAAGATTCTTCCACCATCGAATCCATGTCAAAAAAAGTGATGATGAAGAAAAAAGCGACTTACGCTAATGTTTTATCAAAACATTGGTCATTTTATCGATTTATTTATTTTTAAAAAGAATATTACTATTCAATAGGATGTGATTGTGAATACATATAGTTTCATTGAACTTTTTAATAACTTGATTATAAAATTGGTGTCTTGGCAACCTTGCTTTCAACAATTTCGAGCACATGGACACATTATTTACATCAAAAACGCATATGAAGTGTTGCAAAAATTGATTTAGGTCCGTATCAACATAGTGGAGTAAATGAATGACAATTATTCAGCCGATTATGTCTAATTCAAATATTGATCCTTCGACTAAGATACAATATCAAGTGAATACAATACCTGTCTTCCAGGATCTTCCTGGCAGTACTATTGGTATCGGTGGCGTTTTCTTTGGCTGCCACTATCAAAGCGGAAACGGAGTCCGGGTGCTTCCTCGCTATGATTCTTTCCATTTCTTTGATTTGCCTGTTGAGGTCCTGTATTGGATATATGACGGAGTATTTATTCATTTATTTATACTGATTACAAACAGACTATGTCTGATAAAATGTGTCAGTTAGGGAGGCAGATGAAGATAAAGAGAATGAAATTAACTAAAGCTAGAACTGAAAACTAAATATATACATTTTACATTTACGTAATTCATAACACAATTAGTATCAACAGTATTACATATTGAAATAGCGATAAAAATATAAAATTAAAATAGCTATTGGATTTTTCTTTTATGCTCCCTGATAGAAAAAATTTGTTAAACTCAGTGAAATTTTGGGGCATATCATATCCCTTTCGTGCGCTCCAAGCAATAAAAAAAAATTTACCACCTTCTCGATTAACCTACAGACAGTATACAGTGTGTCCCACTTACCATGCTCACCATGGGTATCTTGCTAACGATGAGAGATACAAGGTCGGTTAAATGACACCAAATGTGGAGTTTGTCAAGGCCAACTATAATGTGAAAAAATATTTTGATAAAATCTATTCGTTTTTGTTTTATACGCAAAAAACAGATTTTGATCATTTTCATGTCTCCTCCATAACTTGTTTATTTATGAAAATATTTAAATAGGAATTTCACATTCTCATGGCAGTTTTTCAAAGTGATTTCGAAAAAAATATGAAATTTATACCAACTCTTCTAGAATTTGAGATATCAGCACCAACTTTAGTTTTTCAAATGTAGGTCATAGCTCACTATGACTTAATTACAAATAACTTTTTTTTCTCTTACAGATAATATGTCGCAGTAATAGTTTTGTGTTGATAACAACGGAGTTATCGTCATTTATACAAAAACAAAAAACTATCTGGAAGCCGCCATCTTGAATTTATAAATTTTAACAAAAAAATCATGATCTTTGACCTCAAAAACCCCCACTTACCAATTTCGAATGGAATCGGACCATATCTTGTCCGCAATCTTGGAGCAGCCATTTTTTTTCATCTCAACGAAAATTCCATAATGTATTGTCACCGGATTTACGAACATCTGCCAAATTTCAAGTTGATAGGACGGCCAGAAGTGAGTAAAATTCACTTGCAACATTTGATTACAGACAGAAATTTAAAAAAATGGCTGCTCCAAGATGGCGGACAAGATTTGGTCCGATTCCATTTAAAATTGGTGAGTGGGGGTTTTTGAGGTCGGAGATCATGAGTTTTTTGGTAAAAGGACCCCGCACTTTTAGTACGTAAAATGGTTCTCGGTGAAATTTTCTGAATTTTCAGTATGTTGTAGAATTCGATGAACTGTTTGAACCTGCAGAATCGTAAAGTTCTTTGATGAACAGATTCTGAGATACAGGGCGTTGAAGTTACAAATCGGTATTTTTCATTTAATTATTTTCTCGAAATTCAAAGATGCCAGGTACAATTTTTTTCGCTCATATCAATAACGAACCTCCATATTACTCAACCTAATTCAGATGGTTCAGATGATGTAATTGTTTACAGAGTGAAACATATAAACATTTCAGTGATGTCTGAAAATTCGATGTAATAATGAAATATCGAAAAAATAATTTAGGCATGCAATATACTATTCTCATTCCATCATGAATCACAATTCATACATTTCATACAGGGTGATTTGAAAAATTGGTGACACCTAAGACCGATTTATTCATACATCCTGTATATTCGAGTGAATTGTTAACCTCCCAAGATAGCTGATACCGTATGAACATGATTTCGTTGAGATATATAGGGTGATCATGAAGATTTTTGATGATGAAAATGACAAAAAATCGTGTTTTTTGAAATCACCCTGTTATTCATGATCAACTCGGTGAAATTCCCTAATTATTTTTTAATATATTCATCATTCGCTCCTCAACGCTGTCTTAAAAATTCAGTTTCCTATCATGACGGGTGTCATAGTTATTAATTCAGGAACTTACCATTTGCATGAAGAGTTGAAGAGACTTGTTCACTTACATTCGCATAGTGGCCGATATTTTTCACAAATAGTGAAACGGGAGAATCTGGAGACGAAAATGAGTTTAGTTTTCATATACAGGGAGAGCATTAGAAATTCAATAACAATAGCAGATATATGAATTTAATAATATTAATATAATGTACAGATAGTTAGGCGAATTTCGATTCCAGGATTCAACTCTCCCTATTAGAAATGGAAGCGTAAAAGACCGAATAATTCTCCCATCTCCTAGGTATTGTTCGTTTTTCATTTTGGCAGAGCTTGTATACCAACGAAATTCGCCTAACTATCTGCACATTATATTAATATTATTAAATTCATATATCTGCTATTGTTATTGAATTCCTAATGTTCACTCTGTATATGAATACTAAACTCATTTTCGTCTCCAGATTCTCACGTTTCACTATTTGTGAAAAATATCGGCCACTATGCGAATGTAAGTGAACAAGTCTCTTCAACTCTTCATGCAAATGGTAAGTTCCTGAATTAATAACTATGACACCCGTCATGATAGGAAACTGAATTTTCAAGACAGCGTTGAGGAGCGAATGATGAATATATTAAAAAATAATTAGGTAATTTCACCGAGTTAATTATGAATAACAGGGTGATTTCAAAAAACACGATTTTTTGTCATATTCATCATCGAAAATCTTCATGATCACCCTATATATCTCAACTAAATCATGTTCATACGGTATCAGCTATCTTGGGAGGTTAACAATTCACTCGAATATACAGGATGTGTATGAATAAATCGGTCTTAGGTGTCACCAATTTTTCAAATCACCCTGTATGAAATGTATGAATTGTGATTCATGATGGAATGAGAATAGTATATTGCATGCCTAAATTATTTTTTCGATATTTTATTATTACATCGAATTTTCAGACATCACTGAAATGTTTATATGTTTCACTCTGTAAACAATTACATCATCTGAACCATCTGAATCATGTTGAGTAATATGGAGGTTCGTTATTGATATGAGCAAAGAAAATTGTACTTGGCATCTTTGAATTTCGAGAAAATAATTAAATGAAAAATACCGATTTGTAACTTCAACGCCCTGTATCTCAGAATCTGTTCATCAAAGAACTTTAAGATTCTGCAGGTTCAATCAGTTCATCGAATTCTACAACATACTGAAAATTCAGAAAATTTCACCGAGAACCATTTTACGTACTAAAAGTGCGGGGTCCTTTATAAATTCAAGATAGCGGCTTCCAAATAATTTTTTGTGTTTGTATAAATGACGATAACTCCGTTGTTATCAACACAAAACTATTACTGCGACACATCATCTGTAAGAGAAAAAAAAGTTATTTGTAACTAAGTCATAGCCATGACCTACATTCGAAAAACTAAAGTTGGTGCTGATATCTCAAATTCTAGAAGAGTTTGTATAAATTTCATATTTTTTTTCGAAATCACTTTGAAAAACGGCCATGAGAATGTGAAATTCCTATTTAAATATTTTCATAAATAAACGAGTTATGGAGGAGACATGGAAATGATCAAAATCTGTTTTTTGCGTATAAAACAAAAACGAATAGATTTTATTAAAATATTTCTTCACATTATAGTTGGCCTTGACAAACTCCACATTTGGTGTCATTTAACCGATCTCTTATCTCTCACCGTTAAAAAGATACCCATGGTGAGCATGGTGAGTGGGACACACTGTATACCTATAAATTTATTGAACACTAGTGCAAAGAATAGTATGTTGTTCAACGAGCAGGAAATGATTGTGATTTACCACGAGAATGAAGTTTGCAATTAGCATTCTGTGCGAGTTATACACTATAATTTTTCTACGGCTGTAACAGATAACAGCGGCATTTTCGATTTCTTCGTCTTGTAGCGATCTGATTTCCTGTCAAGCAATGCCCATCTATAAGAAAGAGCTGTCATTTCTTGAAATTTGACACTCCATGAGCGATGAGTTTTTTTTTAATATTAACACAATGGAGTCATCATGATATCAGATACGGAAATAAAATGGATGACATACAAAGTACCCCACTGATGAATCGAACAAAGTAAAACAAGAGCATATTTGTGTTATAGCCGTAGATAAACAAAGTAATCACATGAAAATTCGAGAAGAATTAAGGAAGAAAAGTGTGTAGGTGCGTAAAAAAAATAAAAGAATTGTAGCGCTAATAGGCCATCATACCTGGATGCATTTGGCGTCCCTTTCATGCTGCAACTTGAAGCTTTTCGTTTGCAGCTTCTCGATTTCCAAGAGCTTATTGAGGTTTGCTTCGTTGTGCTGCAACTTCTCTTTGGCATTTTGCAAATCGATTATTTCGTCTTTGTACTTGGACAAAGTGAAATCCACTTCCCCGAGGCGTCTCTCCAAAATTTTGGTCGAGTTCAGGAGGTCGTCGTAGGAGCTCTTCAAGTTCTGTTGCAGTTCAAGTTCAAGGTTATTCAATCCACAGAGTAGTTATGTTATCGGACATGTCAAGTGTCAGTACAAATATTTGGGTACGGACAGATCATAGCTCCTTTATCTTTTAATCATCTAGTGACTTTGGTTTCGTGTATTGGCGTCCCTGACATGACATTGCTGTCACGTCACATTCATAGGCGTTAAAAGAGATCTTACAAAATTTCAATTTCATACTTTATCGTAATACGACATTATTCAATTCTGTTTTGGAAGGATGGTAAAATGTGCTGCGTTAGGCTGTATCAATCAGTTGGATATAGTGTAGAGGAGAACGAGGCAAAATCCTCTTCCTTACAGACTTTTTTTTTTCGGAGTAGAAAGATATGGGACCTTCACCACCTTGAATATAAATGATTACTACATAATATTTCAGCTTGACTACTTTTTTCTATGGTACCGAAAAAAGTTATAAGCGGCCAAACTCGAAAATTTAAGAAAAAAATAACTTCGCGCGTAAATATATAATCCTTTGTAACTTCACAATTATAGCACTTATATACGCAGTCTTTTCACAGAATGATTAAGCATATTCTGGAGATTCGATTCATATATAATATGTTGGGAAATTTGAGTATTTTTCGATCCAAAATGTGTCATTTTTTACAGAATTCGCGAAAAAAAATCGAATGTCATCTCTTCAGTTTATCATAACTTTTCAGTTCACGATATGAATTCCGATTTTTATGATATCTTTTGATATATTGAAATGTGAGCAACAAATTGTTTCCTATAAACTTTTCGCACGTTTCAAAAATAAACTTTGTAGAAGCGTTTATTGTCTTATAACGTTGATTGATATATTACGCAGCGTAAGCGTAATATATCAATCAACGCTTATAAGTAAGAGGCTGTCCGAGCGCACGAGTGAGAACGATACAGCGGCGTTTACGTGTTCTAGACAAGAACAAACAGTAAAGATTCGGGGAGAATAACTGTCTCATTTGCGAATGGAGCTTTCTTGATGATTCTTTTGCTAGTATCATTCTTACAATGGATTGAAACGAGTCATTTTATGATTGAATATGTAGGTCAATAACTTCAGTTACATATATTGTCCCAAAATAATTCACTTCAAAGGCAACGAAGTGAAAATGGTATAAAAAAAAGACCAAGAAGATATTGGGAGATGTTAGAATTTCCTGAACATGAGTCCCCAAAAAAATCAATGAACATTGCAGCTGGACAAATAATAGTATACCAAAATATATTGAAGAATTTTTATGGCATGTTTGAATGCTGCTCAAACAATGATAGTGGATGAAGTTTTTGAACGGAGGCAACGTCAAAAAAGTTTGAACATTTTCCGATTGTCAGAAGAATGCAATGAATAAAGAAGGTGAGTCTATATAGTATACATATATAGTAATAGGATCAGATGGTATGTTCAATAGCCGTTTGAAAAAAACAGAAATCTAGTAGACATTTGTTTCATATGAGTTGATATAAGTGTTTCTTTTCCTATTTTTTCATCAGTTCAAGAGATGAAAGAGTTGAAAAGAACATTCAGTGAATTAGGTCAGATCTGTTCATGAATAATGAAAAAAGATCTCGAAATGAAAAATTTCCAAAAGAATGATGTGATTATTGTATTCGACAGATATGATCGTAGAATCTCTACCAGCTAATAGAACGATAAAGACGAGGAGTTACAAATTATAAAAGTTTTCGAAAAAAGGAATCTGCTCCATTCCTAAACCTCAGAGGTTTTCAAAGGCGTCCAGGAATGAACATAACCTGGTAATATTTCTAGCGAAAATATCAATTTGTGATAATATTCAGACATTTAGTATTCCGAAATAAACCATCACTGGAATTCTGTTACAAACAATGTATCTCTGAAATGCATCCATGAGGTTGCAGATAATTATGTTACATTTAGTGGAAGAATCCGAATCTTCCAGTAATATTCTCTTTAGTCGGATGATACTGATGTTCTGTCAATATTCTGTATTTCTTATGATTCTATTATTTGAAATACAAATTTCTATTTCCAAAATGGCCATGCAGTCAAACCGAGTCAAACTTCTCATATACTTGATGATCTATAGGAATAGAATTTTGCAAGAAACTACCGGCCCTTACTGATGGATCTGATTAAAGTGATACTATTTTCAAAAATGGAAAGATTTTGCATTAGATATTGCTACGAAAAAAAAGACGACATTGAGAGTTTACTTCATCAAAATTATTTGATTATGTGGACATAGCAAGAAATTATGTAAGTAATGGAATTATATACATATTGGAAACGAAAATGCTAATGTTACGACCTTAGATCAGCTAATAAGACACAAATTCACTGTCAATACTTTCAAGTCTTCTGTCAAACTCGAACTTCTTTCTACAGGAAATACATTCACACCGAGGTGCGTACTAAAGTATAACTTTGATGATTAATGAAATTCACCCAAATTGTATAGGATGGATGTGCAATACAATATAAAATATATTGCAAGAGTAAAACTGCAATGATCATGATGGAAGTTTACTAAAATCATCAGTATTTTCAACTCTACCACCTAAACATCCAGAGATATACAAGAAATGCTTAATATTTCTTGCTCTGACAAATCATGCAATTTTGAAAAAAACGACAATGCCATAGATACGATAATTTGAAATGCAAATGCAAATAAGTACTTTTTGATCGACTTCAACTACTTAAATAACAATGATATATGTATAAATAATTAGTGAATCGATTAAATTGTTTATATATTTTGCGAACATTGAAAAAATTTGATATACAATCCATTGAAATATTTTTTCATTTTATTGACAAAATTATAATTCCTCATAATAATTAATAATTCTGTAACTAACAATTCATCCTTAAAGTGCATTATTCATGAGGTTGCAGATACATTATTATTATGTTACATTTACAAAAAGAATCCAAATCTTCCAGTACATATAGGTAATCGTGTTATTTCCTTCCAGATACTGTGTTGCATCATCGTGTCTCAGATTTATGATAACAAACTTTTCACTAGTTTTTCAGAGGAATATGTGTGATAAATTTCAGTTAGATTCAATATTTTATATAAAAATTGACATTTCTAGCAAGAAAATATGTAAATTCATCGATATAAATCTAGTATACTCATCATATCTGGGAGTGGAGCTCTTGATATTATTTCATCTTCGCTCCGCACTCATGCACCAGTATCTATCGCACTCTGTCTCACTCACTGTGCATAGCCTATCTAAAGTTGCACGTTGTCATTCAAAGCGCTATAAAAAGTTTATTTTTGAAACGTGCGAAAAGTTTATTCGAAACAAATTGTTTGTTATACTTCAATCTATCTGGATGGAAGAAACAAATTGGAATTCATATCGTGAAAAAGAAAGTTATTATCAATTGAAGGGGTGTTAATGCTAAATTATTCATGTAATGCATGACAAAAAATTTATTTTTTCTTATAAAAAACCTGATTTTGCCAGTTTATATACCATGAATCGAATCTTCATAATGTCCTCAACAAAATGATGAGAAGTTGAGGCATCTAAGTTATGTGGTCTACAAGTTACAAAGTTTTATACATTTACGTGCGAAGTAGATTTTTCTTCATAATTTTTGTGTTTGTTCGTTCATAACTTTTTTCGGTACCATAGAAAAAAGTAGTCAAGCTGGATTCTAATGAGTCAATAGTTTCTAAATAGGATAGTGAGGGTCTGATATCTTTCTACTCTCCAAAATTTTTTTGATAACTTTTACCCTGTGTTCCGCTGCACTAATAGCAAATTTGAATTTGAGAATGGAAAGTGAAGTGAGCGAATAGGGAAAATTGGTAAATACATCAGCAAAATATTCGAGGTAAAACTAATACGAAATGATACATTATACTTTCTAATTGTGCCAATAATTATCCACTCCACAAGTTTTTGAATGCATTTTAGCAGAAACAGTTGTGATCAAAACGGAGGATTGAAAGAAAAGGCATATGCCCTACCATTTAAAAAAATTATACCTACATTCAGGAAATATTAAGTGTTCGTGAAAAACTGCGAAAATGATTCCCAAAATGAATATATACATCACACATGACATATGAGCACATTAGTTCGAATACCTACATAAAATTTTTCACCATTTCTCAACCATAAGGCGTAGTCTGAAATAAAAATTCATTTATTGATAGGTGCCTGCCTAAGAACAGTCCCATTTGGTAAAACGTATTAAACTTTCAGAAAAATTTGCTCACTGCCTCACAAAGATTATGCTGGAGGTGAAAAATCAAAAACTGGAAAATAATCATCATCATTTGGATATAATATGTAGAGTTGAATGAGAAATTACATGTGGAAATTACGTATGATACGCCAATGTCCTCAATATAACCTAAAAAACAACAAATGTTACAAATTTAGTGTTCATCCCCAGAAATGAATGAAGATGGAACTATATAACTGTTTCACAAACACTTTAGAGTGAGAGGAGACGAGGATCTGTCCGTACCCTGTTAAGATGACAAATACGTCAATTTACATCAAGGAACCCTAAATAAACATACAGTCTAAGTGAACAAACAAACAGGTACTAAAAGTATTCGTTCAAACGATAGGGGCAGAGGTCGAGGAGAAGCATTTTCATTTTATTTTTAAAAGTATGCAGTTCATTGATCAATTTTAATTCTTCGGGAAGAGAATTGTATAGCCTGAGACCCAATATGTCCGAAGATTTCTGAGATATCGTCAAACGTACGTTGGGTGTATAGAAATTATCCTTTGTTCGCGTTTCATAACTGTGTATTGAATTATGATTGATTAAACTCTCTCGTTTTTTATGTATACCAGTTGAAAGTTCAGGAATATACAACCCAAATAGGGGAAGCAGCTTGTATTCTTTGAATAATAATTCCCTACATGAGGTACCATTTGGAACACTGGCAAGACATCGTACAATTCTTTGCTGCACTATGAAGACTTCATGAGCGGCAGATGAGTTACCCCAAATAGTGATTCCATTCGGGATTGAATTTATCCGTGGTGAAAGAGTAGAAGCCCTCGCATGTCTAAAATTGATTTGAGAGCTCTCAATTGAAAGCATTCAGTACTCAATGTATTTGCTAAGGATTTACAATGTTATTTGAATGATAGATGATGATCAAGCCTGACCCCTAAGAAAGTAGGGCATTCAAACATTACCAAATCGGTGGTAACGATTCAACCCTCTCTATAGTTCGATCATCTATATATACAACAGGAACATGTTTATTCTGTCTGCTATGATGAGTCAATGACGGCTAAATGGACTGTCTGCTGTCATTGGATGAGTTAAGTAATTTGTTTCTGAAGCATTCAAATACAGGGAGTTATCATATGACCATCTACAAAGTGACTGAATACTATTATCGATTTTGTTTTGAATTTGAGTCTCAGTTGTGCCTGTGAACAATAACGAAGAATCATCTGCATATAACCCTCCATACCGCCTTCTCTTTCAGGGCTTCAATACCAGCCAGGCAAATCAGAAACGTACGATGAAGAAATGTTGACAACGTAAATATGGACTTGGCAACAATTCTCGAATGGGGATCCAATAACTTGGTAGATTTCAATGCGAACAAAACACGAGCATTACTTTTGCCTAGAAAAGCCGATCTCACTGTGCCCAACATAAGCTTGTCAGGAGTAACTATACCTTTGAAGACATCCATTTCGATGCTTGGTACTACTATCAGCAATAACCTTTCTTGGGAAAATGGCGTGAGATCAATTGCTAAAAGTGCATCCCAAAAACTAGGTTTTCTGTTTCGTTTTCTGTTTCGGGCCAGGAGCTATTTCGCTTCCAGTCAGCTGCTTATGATTTATAAAGCACAGATCCGACTTGTCCAGGAATACTGTTCCCATATTGCAGCACCCAAACATACCCTGAAACTGTTGGATTCTGTCCAAAAAAAGGGAAATTCGTCTCGTGGGCGATGCCTCGCTCACAAACTCACTCACTTCTCTGGACACCTTAGAAAAGTTGGCGATCTGGCTCTATTTCATAGATATTTTCATGGACGATGTTCTTCTGAAATATCAACAATTGTACCTCCCTTGGCAGTCCCCGCGAGATTAACCCGTCGAGTTGAGGCTTCGCGCCCCTTCGTGGTCACTTTGGAGACCTGCAGAACATCTCTTTCCGAAGACTCGTTCATCCAACGAACAGCGAGGCTCTATTTTATAGAGAAAAGGCATGCTTGTGTTTTATTTGCATTGAAATATACAAAGATATTGGATTCCCATTCGAGAATTGTTGCCAATTCCATATTTATGTTGTCAACATTTCTCCCACGTTCGTTTCTGATTTGCCTGGCTGGTATTGGAGCCCTGGAAGAGAAGGCGGTATGGAGGGTACTATCATCCGCGAAGTCGTGTACTGGACATAAAGTTGCTTCCAACAAATCGTTGATATGGAGTAGAAATAGTGTTGGTGCTAGAATTGATCCTTGCGGCACACCAGCATTTATGATAAGAGAGTCAGATGAAACCCCGTCGACCACTACATGGAGAGAACTGTTTGAGAGGAAACTAGCTAGCAGAGAACGTAGCTGGGGAGGCAAGCCATAAGATGGCGAGGAGTCCGTGGTGTGGACGGAATCCAAGTATTAGGCGCTGTTGCAAGATATAATCTGCAACTTACCTAGAAAATAGATGCGTTTTATTAAAGAACGCATTCATTAGCAAAAAAATGACTGACAAGTATTATGAATAACATATTGTAATCGATAGTCGAAATTTACAGATACTATCGCAAAATATCATAATTTCATTCAGCCAATGAGAGATTTATGGAAATTATCCATAATACGTGACAAAGTAGGATTAAAGAACCTATTATATCCCACCTGGTAACATTGATTCCCTCGAATTATATCCCATTGCTGCTATGATATAGTTATTATGCATTCAAAGAACAATTTCCGGAAATCTAGACAAAAAGTACGTCATAGAAATGGTGAAAAGGCCAAGTTTATCTGCTATTTATTTTTTTCTGGAGTGGAAGTTGATCTTACGAAAAAAAAAAAGAAATACGTATATACATTAATTTTTTACCAACCTCACAGTGAGATGAGAACCTCAATATAGAAAACTTCTCCAATGTAAAAGTAAATTTACTTAAAAAAGTCTAAATTAATTCAAAAAGTCGAACTTTTTTTTACTTTTTTTATAATCTGACCTGTTGGCTTCTGTTTACGGTGTCCAGCTGCAGTTGTAGAGCAGTGTTTATCTCTCTGGAGTCTTTGAGCTGTTCCAGAGTGTTTTCCAGTTCCAGGTTCAGTGCCGGGGAGGTGGTTGTTTTGGCGTCTAGGGCGGCTTTGGTTTGTTCCAGCAGGGCGTTTGTTTTTTGTAATTGCAGCTGAAAAGAAAATTAGGGTCACGAAAGAACGGACCTTTCCATCAATATGATCAGTTTTAATGCACATTATTTTGGACAGTGCCGTGCGTTTTTATTGAACTGAAATGGGGTCGATTTTTCGTGAAATCATATTAGGCATTTTTTACAGGAAATCTAACCTCATATTGTTGTTCCTCATGCTTTCGAACCTCCATATGCAAAAAATCACCCAAATCAGAATTAACAGAATTGGCTTAATTTTTTTCATTTTCAGTCTCGAATAAATAGTGGTTTCAAATCAACTACGAATCTTGGAACGTTCAATGGCTCCGGTAGGTGGAAAATCAGGAAACGAGTTATACTTTTTTTTATGTTGAACACACCGTTTCGGATTAAATAATTATTACGTTCGCAAAAATGCTGACTAGATGTGCCCGTTTTCCTGAAACCCTTCATAGGCATCTTATGAAAATCCACATATGTGGGCTTGAAACCATGAAGAACAATATTATGAGGTCACTTTTCCTGTGAAAAAATGCCTAATATGACTCGATAAAAAACTGACCCCTATTCATTTCAATGAAAATGCATGGCACTGTCTAAAATGATTTTTGTCTTTGAAGAACTGGTCATATTGATGATTATTCATACCGATAAAAATTTGGTGAAGATCGCACGACTGATAGCTGAGATATAGAGGAGGGGTCGTTTGAAATGAGACACGCTGTATACATTTATATCTCTTCCTTTTTCAATACAAATTGTCACTGATGAGCTAGTGAATTTTTCTTCTAGGCACTCTGATAGGAAAAATCATCTGATTAGTTCTTACTACACGTATATTGAAATAATATTTATATTTTTTCCTGTGATGGGAAAAAACTTTGGCATTTCATCTCTGTTGGCAGGTTATAAAATGTCACTTTTCATAAATTACTTTTTTCCCGTGGGAAAAAAGTTAGTACTTTTTTCCCGGATATATATCACATATATATACACTTTTGATGGATTTTGTTGTGCTATAGTTCCGAAAAATGAGTCAATAATACCGTCTCCGAGAAAGAACTGCAAGTCCTTTTATCTTCCATTCGACTTCGCGGTTACATATATTACTAAACAACCACTGAATTCGCAATTTCTTGGAATCGAATCACGGAATTAGGCTGACAGAAGTGACATCAGATATTTGATTACTTATTCAAATGAATGATGAAGATGCCTACAACGCGGTGTCCCTACTGTTAAAAACTTAAAATTTCACGTCGATAATTTTCAGATTTTAAAATAATGTAATATATTTTCAATATTGATTCGTACTTTCTTCTGTCACAGAAAAAAATAGTGTATTATACACGGGAAAAATATTAGATTTTAGCTCACGGTTTGTTGTCTCCCTCTGCTACGCGTCGGGAGACAACACAACCTGGAGCTAAAATCTACTACTTTTTTCCCTTGTATAATAAATAACTAATTATTTTATAGAAACGAGGAGAAAAAATCCTAACAAATCTGGAATAATGAATTTATCTTCTACATTTTTTTCTGCAAGTTGAGACCCCGCGAGTTTCGCTCGCTCTGTACAACTGCTTTGGCGATACCGTTTCCATGAACCAGGTCAACGGAGATCGTCCGGTATATAAAGAGACGAGACCTTGGCCGCCACTCCAATCGTCAACAACGAAATGAAGACGAAAAGCGTCTTCTTGTTTGCGTTTTTGGTTATAGCTGCTGACAGCGTCAATGGCCGGAGTTCTCTACAGGGTGAGTTATCGTTTTAATTAATAGAAACACTGGAGAAATGCACTCTTTGCAAAAAAAAATCGACCAGAGATAATTCCAACTGAATTGATCGCCTTGTAACTTTTTAAGTCTTATCCGATTTAAGTGAAATTCATGAAGACATTTTGAGATATATACAGCATAAGGTTTGAATTTGAAAATTAATTTTAATTTATTGGGTGAAATGTTGCTCTAACTCTTTTCAATGATATGTTTCCAAAGATTCAGTCCTAGACTATGAGGACGTTGACCTCTCAGACTGGTGGAAATAGTTATTTGTTTAACTAGGCAGCAAAGTAGTAGATTGACTGCCGAGGCTGAATTCATAGCCGAGCGTAGCGAGGCTAGGAATCCAGCTAAGGCAGTCAATCTACTTTGCTGCCGAGTTGAACATATAGTTTTTTCTCCGATTGTTCATAATGATATATATCTTTTTATTTTTCCTGTAGTGTTCAATAGAGCAGTTCAGCTACCGTTGAGAGAGAAAAAAATGTCTTCCCATCTGTCCTTGTCTTCAGTGTTCCAACATGAAATAATGAAAATCTTATGTTGTCAACACTGGAAATGAGAAGAAATGGAGAAGAAGACCGTTCTAACCTTCTATCATATTGAGGTAAATATGATATTCTTCTCCATTTTTTCCCATTTCCAATGATGCCAACATAATATTTTCATTATTTTATGTTGGAACACTGAAGACAAGGACAGATGGGTAGACATTCTTTTTCTCTCTCAACGGTAGCTGAACTGCTCTATTAAAATGAAATTTGATAGAAATCGCAGTTGTTGGAACGGCTGGTTGCTATGGAAATGTCCATAATAATTATAGTTTGACAATTCATGAAATTTCTGACAGTTATGCGAAAAATGCGGCATATTTAAATTATTATATAATGGACAGTGATAGCGACCTGGAAGTACTTACACCTCCAGAAATAAGGGAGGTGGAGTGAATATAGAGGTGAATTTGTTGCCGGAGAAGTCTCGGATGAAATATGAAGGAAATTATAAACGATTTATGGATTATTAATTTTGCTGATACATATCAATCAGCAAACTAACCACTTTGCTGCCTAGGCAGGAAAAGTAATATCTTGCAGATTGATATGTGTCAGCAAAATTCATATTTGCTGCCTATCGGAGAAAAATGTATTATTGTCTTATTTTTTTTCATACAAAATGAACACGAAATGAACTAGAACAATAGACAGAGAAACAGACAATAGACACACAGAGACTAACAGAGACAGACAAAGACATACAGATACATACAGATACATACAGATACAGACAGAGACAGACAGATACAGACAGAGACAGACAGAGACAGACAGAGACAGACAGAGACAGACAGAGACAGACAGAGACAGACAGAGACAGACAGAGACAGACAGAGACAGACAGAGACAGACAGAGACAGACAGAGACAGACAGAGACAGACAGAGACAGACAGAGACAGACAGAGACAGACAGAGACAGACAGAGACAGACAGAGACAGACAGAGACAGACAGAGACAGACAGAGACAGACAGAGACAGACAGAGACAGACAGAGACAGACAGAGACAGACAGAGACAGACAGAGACAGACAGAGACAGACAGAGACAGCCAGAGACAGACAGAGACAGACAGAGACAGACAGCTACACACAGAGACATACAGAGACACTAGACAGACAGAAACATAAAGAGGTAGACAGAGAAATAAAGAGGGATACACAGAGAAAGTCAGAGTAACATACAGGTAAATTTCGTTTCCATTTCCACGTAAAGGTTTAATTGGAATTCCCAATGGAAGTGAAGAAGTACCCTTCGAAATAGAGGAACCGGAACCGGTTTTGAAGAACATAGAATATCAGGATGAAAGCAACTCAACCAATGTAGAAACAGCGGTAGATGAAGAGATCGTGGGGAATGCAGACACAACTGTGAATGCAGAAATTGCAGAAAACGCCACAGAAACCACAAGCGATGCAGAACCTTCACTTAGAGTTTCTTATACTGGAAATCAGCTATGGAAAACTTTCGTCGGCAGTACAGAAGAGTTGAGAGTTATATCTAACTTAAAAAGAGAAAAAGGTGAGCATTTATTACTTAAACCATTAGATTAACACTGTATCATTAGTTAGTAAGGGTTATTTTTCTACTAAAAAAATTCAAATATTCAAATAACGTGAGAAACTTTAGAATAGATACAGAGTAGATTCAGAATTCTGATCACCCTGTATCTGTTCCGATTGAATATCAGTAAATAGTAAATCAAAAGTTGAGATAGGGACATGTGAACCATTCTGGTCGATAATTACTAGTTTCGACACAAAAAAAAAACCCTAACGTTCAAAAATCTCGATTCTCAACTCCCTATATATCTCTGTAATCATTTCCGATAGACCCCAAGTGTGATTTATTGATGAAATCAGCTCTTCAGGAAGAATCTAAAAATGCAATACTACTGCATTGCTACTTTTTGATAGGAGCGGCATATTTTCATGGATTTCTCCCGACTGATTCTCCAGGAAAGAAGACATTTCATAACCCTGTCAACAGATACGGAATGTCAGACTTTTTTCCTGTCACAGAAAAAAATATGAAAGATGCATTCCACTCTGTATTTAAGTGTATCGTAAACTACACTATAGCGAGTATGCCTACTGATATTTGTCCATGCAAATTTAATTATTTCTTTTGCATAACTGGTTTGGGAGATGTTCTTTAAAGTACCATTACGGAGTGATCACAAATAGAACGACACAGCTTAACATTTACCTAACTAAATTTCAAGTATCTCGAAAGAAAACCACAAAGCACGATATTTTCGAGAACATGGGTATTACAATAATCATCGGGTAAAATCTGAAATCATGATTTGAATAATTACTCGGATAATTATTATTTCTATTATCGACGTGAAACGATATTATTCATCATTATAATTCCGAATGATTCATTTCGATATTGGCTAAAAATTACCATAAATTTATTAAAAATCTCGACACACATTTTGCTAGCTATGAATGGAAATATAAATAGTTATATAAACAACTAGTCAATTATTCTCAATTTCAATGTACAATTTTTTTAAATTCACATACTTCAAGAAAGCTAGATGTTCTTTGAGCCTAGTTTCAATTGATCTCTAGTCTGACCAACACATGTTTTTCCACATTTGTTTAATACATTAGCGAATCTAAAACCGCACTTTTTCATTGATTTCCAGATATTTCTACGTGGGGTGGAAACCATTCTTGCGTCGATATTTTAGTAAAGCCAGAATCCTTAGAAAAAGTGAGCAACGCTCTATCCAAAGGCAACATCAAATACGAAATAGTCATCAAGGATTTACAAAAAGCTATTGACGAAGAAAATCCACCTGTCAATGAAGAAACAAACGACAGGAAAGGTTAGTATTGTTTCCAATTCCATTATGATTTCAATGTTTCCTAAACAATGTTTCTCAAAAAGTTCAAATCATACGGGAACAACTCTAAACAATAATTTATTTTGGGATTATTTTACTTGGGCGTTGAGTTTTGCTTTGAAAAATATAAAAAACGACCTAGTCACGTGACTTTGAGTACATGTCAAACGTTGCATTTTTTTCAATTCAATTCAATGAGAATCTGAAAATGAATTGGAAATAGATTGACCAAAATTGATCGGAAACCAGTGTTGAGCAGTTTAGTGGAATTTTGATATATTTGGTGAATTTTCCAGGCTATCGTTTAACATGGAAAGCCTATCATGGATGGACGGATATCCACAGTTACCTGGACTATGTAGCCGAAACTTATCCAGATTTGTGCACCTTAAGAACTATAGGACAATCGGTAGAAGGGAAACCAATCAAGGTAAATATTTTGACAACAACGAAAATTGATGACATCAGGTCTCCTACTTCCAGTGTTGCGAAGTGAAGTGCAAAAACCGACATAACAATACAGTACAGTGTGTCCAGTTTTCGATGCTTTTGCGTGATATCTGAGTTATATTTAGAGATAGAACCTTGCGGTTTTCGCGGTCCATTGCCACTGTTTTGTGAAACTCAAGATGGCCTGACCAAATTTTGCATAACTGTTTCCGTTTTTGAGATACAGGGCGATTTTGAAAATTTATACTTTTTGAAGTTTCCCAGCGAGAATGTCAAATTGAAATCTTAGCCTATAGAGAATTCTACGCAGAATCCAGTAGCACACTCAATTTTTTTTTTTCGGGGTATGGTTTTTGTATAATGGTATTGGCAACACTGCCATTGGATGTATAACATACGACAAATGACGTGACGTATGACAAATGATATGACGTGGATTGACAAGTGATGTCCCGCCAGAACCAGACTAGGCAGTAGGCACGTCTCTCGATCCATAGATAATAAAATGTAGTTTATAGAATCAGTAAAGTAGTAATCATCATAAAAGTGTCTTGATATACCCGAGCTCATAATCTACAATACAATCATCTAGAACAGTTTTGGAGATACGACTCAAACTTATGATTTTTTGAATGGAGCACCCTGTATTTCATCAGCTCATTAAATTCCGTTTTTGTTTCCCTTCGAAATAATATATATATTTGAATATAAGAATTTCAAAAATGCTCGAAAATAATTGAAACATTGAATTAAAAACGGATTGGATGGAGTTTTCATATAAAAACGTTCCAATTGAAAGAATATTTCCTTCGATTTTCCATGAAGAGGCCAAAAACAATACCAACACTTATTAACTAACAAAACACAACAATTTGTTATCTGATAGCAACAAATAAATAGTAATACAAAGTTCATGATCTAGAATAAGCACCCGATTAGAAATATTAACTGAAACAATTGAATTTCGAAATTATTCAGTAACTTATTCATTGAATTGTTCAAATTGATTGTCCATTTTCTCTCACACACTTTCTCAATACGACTTATGCATTCAAAATCATTAAAGGACGTCTTTGTAATTTCTGAAAAACTGTCTCTGTTGTTCCACGAAGTTCTTCAACATTGTTGTGCTTTCTTCTGTATCAACACGTATTGAGAAATTGTGTCGATTGTGTGTCGGGGAAAATAAAGCCGTTTGAGTAAAGTTGTCAACTTGGAGCGAAGTCCCCCATTGGAGCCAATTCAATTATGACTTAATCAGCCCTCATGACAATGAATATCATTGCCAAATCTCAAGAAAATCGGTGGATGGATATTTGAGATATTCATAAACAACAGATTCTTTGAATAAAGTTTATCACACTATACCTTGAAAACTATGCATTTTCGGACTCACGCACATATGAAATAAACATGTTTTCTCATGCAGAATCACCCACTCGATTTTTGCGCATAATTTCCGGACACCCTGTATAAGCCCAAAACATGTCCCGGTACGGTCTTTGATCATTCTAATAAAAGTTGTGGAGATGACTTTGGGTTTCCATCTAAATATTGAAATAGAAAATAATTTTACAATTCTATTCATAAACTGAACTATCCTTACGACAAAATTTATATTGGCCAAACAAGGAGATCCATGAACATAGGTTCAAAGAACATTTCTTAGATTCTAAGTGGTAGATCAAAACATCTACTTCCAAACCCTCTTTCGTTCCCCTACAGGTACTGAAAATCTCCAATGGCAAACCGTCCAATAAGGCCGTATGGATAGACGGAGGCATCCACGCTCGCGAATGGATCAGTCCCGCCACAGCCACCTATCTCATCAACCATCTGGTATCAAACTTGGAAAACGAGCCCCCGTACATGAGGGAGATCGATTGGTATGTAGGTTACTCAAATATTATATCTACGCAGTGCTTTTCATGGAGTTGGTTTCATATGGGAAACCAATTTTGATAATAATGTACCTATCTTGAAATTCAATCAATCAATCAATCAATCAATCAATCAATCAATCAATCAATCAATCAATCAATCAATCAATCAATCAATCAATCAATCAATCAATCAATCAATCAATCAATCAATCGAAATATTAAATACTGTCTGTAGGTTAATCGAGGACGTGATACAGGGTGATTCGCCATAAATGTCCCCCCCTCTATCTCAGTTATTCTTGAACCGATTGCTAAATTTCAAATATCATCTAAAACGATTTTCGATAGAGTGTTTTTCCTCTACATCAGAAAATACAAGTTGCTCGGAACAAACGATCTACAGGGTTCTATTTGATTTTTTTAAATGGAACACCCTATTTTTCATTGTATTTTCAGATTCTCTCTGAAAAGCTGATTTCATTAATGTATCACACTTGGGGCCTAGCGAAAATGATTAAAGAGGTATAGGGTTTTCAAAATCGAGATTTTTCAACTTTAGGGTTTTTTGTGACGAAACTATTCATTATCGGTCAAAACGGCTTTCATGTCCGTATCTTAACTTTCGATTTACTATCTACTGACATTCAATCGGAACAGATACAGGGTGATCAGAATTCTGAATCTAGAACCACACTGTATATGTTCCAATTGAATGCCAGGTTAGGTAAAAGTTGAGATAGGGACATGAAAGCCGTTTTGACCAATAATGGATAGTTTCGACACAAAAAAATCCTAAAGTTGAAAAATCTCGATTTTGAGCACCCTATATCTCTGTAATCATTCCCGCTAGACCCCAAGTGTGATGCATTGATATAATCAGCTCTTCAGGACGAATCTAAAAATACAATGAAACACAGGGTGCTCCATTTGAAAAAATCAAATATTACTCTGTAGATCGTTTGTTCCGAGCACCCTGTTATTTCTGATGCAACGGGAAAAACTTTTCTGATAAATCATTTCAGATGATTTTTCAAATTTTTAAATCGGTTCAAATATAAGTGAGCTAGACGGGGGGACATTTATGATAAATCGCCCTGTACATTCATTATTCCAGTTTTTTTGGGATTTCCTCTCCTCGTCTCTATAAATTGAAAATATGAATACTATTTCAATATACGTGTAGTCAGGACAGATCAGATAATTTGCCCCAAAATGTCACTGCGTTTAAAGAATTTTTTTGAAGGAAACATTCACTAGCTTGTCAGTCACAATTTGTATTGAAAAAGGTTTGGAGAAGAGAAATAAAGGTATATTGAAAAATATCAAATTTTTACTTATCTTTGGACGTTTCGGGAACGAATCTGCTCCCGTTTTCAACATAAAAAATGTTTTTTTTTCTGTAACGGGAAAAAAGTTTGGCATTTCATCTCTGTTGGCAGGTTACAAAATGTCACTTTTCATAAATTACTTTTTTACCGTGGGAAAAAAGTGCGTACTTTTTTCCCGGATATATTTCACATAAATATTCACTGTTGATGGCTTTTGTTGTGCTATAGTTCAGAAAAATGAGTCAATAATACCGTCTCCGAGAAAGAACTGCAAGTCCTTTTATCTTCCATTCAACTTCGTGATTATATACGTATTCGCGGGAATCAATGTTACCAGGTGGCGCTCAGTTTTCATCGTTCCATGTCAAAGCCACGTCAAAACTGGGGGAAAACAAGCTCAATCCTCACTCAATCCCATTAGCTTGTATACTGTGTACTGATAAGAGTGATAACACTTTATGTCATTGACAAGTTTGACAAGTACAGCTACAGCAAGATGTATGCAATGTAGTCTATGCACTTTATCCATGGACAACAGTTTGTTTTCCCCCAGTTTGAAGTTCGTATTATGTGACCTAGATGTCGCCCACATCGTGAATCTCGCGAATATTACTAAACTACCACTTAATTCGCAATTTTTTGAAATCAAATCACAGAATTAGACTGACAGAAGTGACATCAGATATTTGATTACTTCAAAAGAATGATAAAGATGTCTACAACGCAGGTGTCCCTACTGTTAAAAACTTAAAATTTCATGTCAATAATTTTCAGATTCCAAAATAATGTAATATCAACTCAATATTGATTCGTTTTTTCTTCTGTCACATAAAAAATTGTGTATTATACACGGAAAAAATATTAGATTTTAGCTCACGTTTTTTTGTCTCCCTCCGCTACGCGTCGGGGATGGTGTAGGTGGCGCCACCCCCACGAAAGAGGCAAACTAACATAAATTTTGATATTGTCATTGAAATACCCCTAGATACCGAACTTCATTCGAAGGTCACAATCATTTCGAAATTTATTAACAAAAAACAAAAATAAAAATTCAACATGCTCCTGAGTTTTCTACAAGTACTTAATAAACACCCTGTATAATGAGGTTATAAGTTGATAGTTAAAATTATGAAGGCTCATTTTATTTTATTCTTTTTAGATCATTTAAATAAAAGCTTTTTATTGAGAACCTTTTTTTACTATTAATTTTTCATTTTCTTTGAAGCAAAAGGATAAAAGGCCCTTCATTTGTATTATTCATTATAGGATTATTTCCTGATAATTATCTGAAATCGTTCTATATTTCTATAGGTACTTCGCCCCTTTGCTCAACCCTGATGGGTACGAGTACTCGCACAAGGTGGACAGGCTGTGGCGGAAGAATAGGGGCGGTGGAGGATTAGGAAATTGTAGGGGAACGGACCTCAACAGGAACTTCGGGTAAGGACGAGAATTAAAGAAATTTTTTTTCTGCAATCCACACAAAAGTCGTCGATTTTAATACCAAAACCAGCTTTTGAATTGACGTTTCTATTACTGACACAAAAATGGGTATGTTGCTAGGCACATTTAGTTCCTAGGAGCTAAAGTTCAACTAAAAAGGATGTACTAGAGGTCATCAAGAATAATAGTAGATTTTTTTATTAGGGTCAGAAGTGACACTTTGTTTGACAAGCGAATTTTGCATTTGCGAGGCGGAGCGTTTAGCGAAGCCGAGCGATATCAAAATTTGCGAGTCCAACAAAGTCACTTTTGATCCGAATGAAACATGCTATTTTTTCTGCAACCGAAACAATTGACTCAAATAAACATGTGAAGTAACCACCAATGCAGTGCCATATGTATGCAATGCAACAAATATTGACAAATAATCCATGTGGTGAGAATATTCTACCTGCTTTAACAGCAGGTTAGGTTTTCTAGGATGTTCGAATTTTAGTTTCAATATAAATACAACTACAGAGTGACATATTTGTGTATGGACCAGGTGCTCTAATGGCAAATACCGCGCCAGTGCCAGCTATAGGAACAAGACGTGGAAAATGTTGGGTTAGTGAGCATATCAACAATGATAATAGTGATTATTCCTCTCCATACTACAATGTGTTTGACTTGATAATCAAATGAAGCAAACAATATCGTTGTTTGAGACAAAAAAACTATTGCTTGCCGTGATTATTCAAAACCAAGTTATCCATCCCGAGGATAACGAATGAAATACAGATCAAGCAAGTATTTGAATCTTGAAGGTTTCCCTGATCAAAACAAAAATACTTAACTGAGATGTTTATAATTCACTCTTTGGCTAGATAATCCAAGAAACTTATTATCTCAGGATATACAGAGCTGTGGTGACAAAAACCTAGGGGAGATTCCTCTCAACAAATTATGAAATCAAGTTCATATGAAAATGGGTTCGGAAATGCTTCGTTTCCGAGATACAGGGTGTCCAAGATAAAAGAATTATGGGTTTTTTATTATTGCTTGAGGCTTCTGTCAAGGCTTTTGTCGACACAACTCTGAAACACCCTGTATAGAAATGAAATTTCACATAATTTCAAAGAGTTCATTATTATTTCGGAACTTTCAACAGATCAACCTACCTACCTAAAAATTCGTGGTACAGAAAACCTGCATTGCATATGTAATTAGTTCGATAGTTGATTTCTGT